AGCTCTTGTATTGTAAATTTTGGTCAATGACATGAGACAAAGTATATGTGAACTGCTGTATGAAAAGTGAATTTGCTCTGTAAATCTTCACCCAAATCAAAATAAAATTAAAAAAAAAAAGCTTCCTTTTTCATTTTATGTCAGTCTTCACCTTTTCTTGTTTCCCTCCCTTTCTAGCTCCTGAGTCTGAGTTTCTTGGACCAGTTCATCACCTTCTACCCAAACTTTAAATGCTAAGAATTCTCAAGGCTCACTCAACTCCCTCTTTATACCTTTAGAGTCTTCACATTTTTATCTATGGCCCAACTTTCTCCTTTAACTCTAGACTGACTATGAGAGGCAGCATAATGTGGTGGTTAAGGTCATGGGCTTTGTAACCACACTGACCAGTTTCAAATCTGGGCTCTACCACTCATTAAAAGGCCAAATCCCTCCCTTTCACACAATCTGGCCATGAAGAAAAAGGCCTGATTTAATTATGACAATAATTTGTGAAGTAGTCCAGTTTTGCATAAGAGGAAATAAGTCTCTAACATGAAGTAATTTGCTGTATGTCACGGAGGTATTAAGAGGCACAGGCAAGCCTTCACACTCAGTCTGAATGTCCCTGTGTCCCGCAGCCTACTTCCAATCTTCAGCTACTACTCCCAGTGATTGATATCCCCACACTCATTTCTTCCAAGTCCACCTTTTAGCCTCCGGGCCAATTCCTGGGTGAAGAGAATATTGGCCAACTTGCTATGACAGTAGGCCAGGCCGGCATTGTAGTATCTCTCGCCCTGCAGGTTATGGAAGTGGATTCTTCCCAGGTAATGTGCTAAGGAAGACACATTCACTACCCGTGATGGCGCTGACTCCTTCAATTTCTCTAGAAGCAGGTGGGTCAAGAGGAAGTGACCTGTGGGAGAAAAGAAAAAACCCTAGAAGTAACAGAGTTCAGGACCAATGTGCAAGGAGTGTGGGGAGAAGCAGGGCTCAGCTATGGAAAAAGGTCTTTCATCTCAATATTTCATTATCAACTAGAGAATTAGTGAGGGTTTAGGGACACAGGAATAGCCAAAGACACAAAATTCCTCCTTACGTGGGGCAGGTCTGTACAATGGGAAATCTGAAGTATGGTCTCATTCTGACTTTGATTAACATCACAATTTAAGCGTATGAGGCCTGTTATCTGATGCTGGCCACAGGATCACTACTAAGAAGCCAACACAGCTCCCAATCCATTTGGGACATGTTCAAAATGTCTAAGGGTAAAGTGAATCAGAATCACAGATGGAAAAGTAGGCAAGACCTTAAGCCGTCCTCAAGTTCATCCCTCAGCTTTTAGGTCAGACCATGCTGTTGTTCACATATAATCTACAATGGTCCTGAGATCAAATCACATCACACAAACAAAGCTCAATCCAACCCTTAGGTTTTCCAAGGAGAACTTTACATTCTCTCTAGCTTTCTGATGAGGCCAGATTTTCTTACCCAAGTGATTGACTCCCATGTGCATCTCAAAGCCATCTGCTGTCTTGGAATAGGGACACATCATCACTCCTGCATTGTTGATCAAAATGTGAAGCTGTTTTTCCTCTGCAGGGAAGGAGATGGAGTGGGGAAGTTGTCAACCACAGCTGTTACATCTTAGAAATGTGCCTTATGCCTAGGCTTTGAAAATGGGGATGCAGGAGTGTAATCTTTCCTCCATTTTCTCTTTATACTTATTTTGTATTATTTTTCTTCTCAAGACTTTGGTCAAATTCTATAGGACAAAATTCCATCTTACACTACCAAATGGCCTCCACAATCCTTCTCATTTGGGAACTGCTTAGTGTGTCTGGGAAGCGTCTTGTCCACCTCTCCCAAACTGAATGGGAAGAGTCCAAAGGAAGAGAAAAGAGGACTTTCTGTATACAACCTACCACTAGGATTCAGATCCCTCCCAGCCCCCTACCCCAATTTTGGTTTTGTCTCTTTGTTGCATCTGGTAACTCAGGTTCATTTCCTCATGTGGTTTATAATTTCTGTTTATAAGCTCTTATCAGTGGAGGCTGTTTTCCTTGGAAGGCCTAGCCCACTGGGTTATGAGGGGGGACACTGACAGAGTACTCTTCTGCTGTGATGCTACAGGTTTTTGTAAGAATTTCTCAGTTCAAAATTCTCACATTGTTGGTGGTATGAATTCAGATCCCACACCTGATACTACCTCGAGGTTCTAACTTCTTGCAGATGGCCTCTGACCCATTCATGCCCAGAGGAGATGGCAGGCTTCTCTGTCACGATCCTGAGCTGGTGACCAGAGTTTTTCTAGCCCCTGTCATGGACCAGGTGGCCCTCTGTGAATCCCAACGTTATGTGGAACCTCAGTTCCAACTCTCCTGGGTCTGAGGTTTCATCTCCTGTCCAGTGTGGGTGTTTAGACTCCAGACACCAGATCTAATGGTCTCTCTAAAGATCTGCAGTCCTAGCTCTTGCTCACTGATATGGCTTTTTAAATTCTCTCTCTGTGTGTTTTTGTGTACTGGATTCTACTTATTGCATATTTGTAAAACTGTGTGAATAAGTATGTATGCATATAGAAACAAAAGACTTAAGAGAGAAATAAGAATTTATGAAATAAAAACTTTATAGAGAACAAAACCAAATTAAGTATGGTGGTTTCAATGCAAATAGGCAAAATTGAATTAAAAGCTGAAACTAATGTCTCAAAGAAGAGATATAAAATAATAATAATATAGTGACATCAACATGGGCACTAATTCAAAATTAAATTGGAAAGGACCTGGAAATAAAACAATATAAAAACACCGATTTAAAAAAAAAAATGTGGTTAAGAAGCAGTATCTGAAGTTATAATTTTCATGCTATATAAAGATACATACTTTCAGTTGAATAAGGAAGGAAGAACACCTTGCAAATCATGGTAGAAGGTGATGTTACTTTCAGAAATAGAGTTACTTACAAAAGACAAAAAGGTACAAAAAGGAGTAACGGGTATGAAAACAAGATAGCAATGCATATAAAAAGTGACTTGTTAATCCTAAGGATACAAAACAAAACACCTTTTATGTTTAAAAATAAAAAGGTAATCACAAAGAAAATTGTCATTTTACTTGTTAGGATGACCAATGTTATTACCAATTAAAAAGCCTTCACATATTCCCTTTAAATATACACGTAGAAAAGAAATAAAATAAGTAAAGACCTTGAATGATGTCCACTAAAGTGGATGGCTAACCAACTACCCACTGCACCTGAGTCAGTTCTGACTCACAGTGACCCTTCAGAGTAGAACTGCCCCATAGGGTTTCCAAGGTGGCAAATCTTTATGGAAGCCAGCTGCCTCATCTTTATCACACGGAGCAGCTGGTGGGTTTGAACTGCTGACCTTTTGCTTACTAGCTGAATGCTTTAACCACTACACCACCAGAGCTCCTCAAAAGTGGTGGTTAAGGAGCTACCCAGAGCGAACGAGTAGTTGATCCTGCGGGCTTGGGACCATAGTCGCAGGGGACATCAAGCTCAATTGGCATAACATACTATACAAAACACTGTTCCACCTCCTACTTTGGCGAGTAGTGACTGGGATCTTAAAAGCTAGCAAGCTGCCATCTAGATGCAACAGTGGGTGTCTCCTCGTCAAGAAGAAAGAAGAAAACCAAATGAATGGAAACAATCAGTCCTAGCGACTGGTACACCATCTGATCTTCAAGCTATACAACTATGAGACCAGAAGAACTAGATGGTGCCCGGCTACCACTGTCATCCACTTGGAAGGGATGTACGAGATCCTGCATAGAGAGGGAGAACAATGTGGAACAAAACTCAAAATCATTTGGAGGCAAAAAAAAAAAAGAAGGTGGGGACCAGGTTTGCTGGTCCAATAGAGCCTGGTGAAACCACTGAGACTATGGCCGCTAGCTGCCCTTCAGGTCTGGAATTGAACCCACACCTGTGGTTTCCAGCCAAACAAAGTACAGGCAAGTGAGTTAAACATTTATCTCAAGTAGACACACACCCTGGAGAGAACAATCATGGGAGAAGGAAGGGCTGCTTATGCACAGGGAGACAGCTCAGGGCGCAGAACAGTATGGAGGGATGGACACTGGGAAGAGGTAACTATGGGGAGGAAGTGGGAGGGGAGCTGTTGTATTGTAAATTTTGGTCAATGACATGAGACAAAGTATATGTGAACTGCTGTATGAAAAGTGAATTTACTCTGTAAATCCTCACCCAAATCAAAAAAAAAAAAAAAAAGTGGTGGCTAAGGAAGGCTCAAATACATTCAGCCTCACCAATAATGAAATAATTGCAAAGTAAACTAAGAGTGAATGCTTTTTCACCCATAATGCAATGGAATGCACTGCCATTGAGTTGGATCCAACTCATAGCAACCCCTCCTTGGGTTTCCGAGGTGGTTATCACTACAGAAGTAGATTGCCCAACCTTCCTTCCGAGAAGTGGCTGGTGGGTTTGAACCGCCAGCCTTTATACAACAATTATTTTTTCTTTTGAATATCCAAGCTGAGGAAACACTGCAAAGTGTATATCACATGAATGTTGTTACCTCCGTTAAATTTTCTTTAGTTTCCACATCCTGAGGATTTCCTTTTGTTGTTAATGAGTTTGGCTATGAATCAAAAGTTTGGGGCCCTATTTTATCCAGCATTTCTAATGTGTTAGAACTGTCATTCAGTCGATTCCAACTCAGTGACCTCCACTGGATTTCCAAGGCTGTAAATCTTTATAGAAGCAGACTGACTCATCTTTCTCCCCGAGAGCAGCTGGTGGGTTTGAACACCAACCTTCTGGTTAGCAGCCACATGCCTTAACCATTGCACTACGGGAGCTCCTTATCAGACAGCCAGAGGGATCTTTTCCATTTAGCTATCTCCTGTGTTAATCACAAGACTCACCTCACAGTCTTCAGTTAAACACTCACCTACTGAGAAGTCCTGAACAAAGGCTCGAATAGATTTAGTATCAGCAAGGTCTAGTTTTCGCACGAACACCTGCTGGTTCCCCGTCTTGGTCTGGATTTCTCTGGCCACCAATTCCGCCTTTTGTACATCTCGGCAAGCTAAATATACCCTGGCTCCTGTCAATCGACATATGTGAGAGACAAACTGTCAGTGCTATTTTTGAGTGGGCATTATGGGCCCAATATGAATGCTTAATGTTATTTTTTACTGATTTTTTAAAACACAGGGATTTTTACCCCTACTTTACAAAGTGGGTATCTGATGAGCAAATCAGGAAAGAAAAATCAATCAACAGTACCTATAAAATGCTCACAGCACGTGGAGGATGGTACTAGGTTCAGACCAGATCAGTGGGGGCACTTGAGTGTTCTTAAATTCCCAGACTGGATGGAAATGATCAGAATGACCATCACCATGAGGGGTGAAATGGCAGTTGCACCAGTGGCACCAGTTGCCACTGAGTTGACTCTAACTCGTGGTGACCCCACGTGTTACAGAGTTGGACTGTGTTCCATAAAATTTTCCAGACCATGACTTTTCAGAAGCAGATCTTCAGGCCTCTCTTCTGAGGCCCCTGTAGGTCAGTTCAAACTACCAACCATTCGGTTAGTGGCGGTTGAGCACTTAAGTATGTGCACCACCCAGGGACATCAAAATTAGCAGCAGCAGGAGGGACCCTCAAACAGCTCAACTTGCCTCTTTGAGCCAGCTCTGTGGCTGTCTCCTTCCCAATGCCTGTGTTGGCTCCAGTGACCACAGCTACTTTCCCAGGAAGCTGGACAGTAGATGTACACACTCCACTGGATAGCATTTTCCTGCATAGAGAAGAAAGCTCATCAGTCCTTCCTTCCCTCAGTTGAGAAGTTCCTGTGACTCCCTGTATCTTCAGATTCCCAGGCAGCAGTGGTGTCACAGTGGCAGGGCAGCTGTCATCCGGTGTGAAAACTCGTGTCATCCCCTCCATGGCCCTCCCTCCATACCCAAACATACAGAATCCTTAGTAATGTTTATTACAAATTTTAATTATAGAATATTATGTGCTAAATACAGTTATAAATTGCTTAAGTGCAAAACGTCTTATATGAATACTAATAACAGAACTTTATTTTGTAAAATATTTCTACATTATGAGTTACAATGATAACAGTAACTGAGTGGAAGCATTTTTTGATTTTTCTGCTTTTTCTTTAACTGCTACTTCATTCTCAAAAAAGCTACTGACATAGGTTCACAAATACTGATTACTGCAATATTGTAGCTAAACCACCAGAAAATTTGACATAATTGGTGACTGAAAACACTAGCAGCAACACAAACAAGAGTGTGTGCTTGAGCTCATGCAGATGAAATCACGTGATTCAAAGCATCATTGCAATTGGGTAATGACAGCTCTGACCAGAGCACATCAGAAAGTTCAAAAAGTAAACTAGCATAGAGTTTTAGCCTTGTAGGTATACTGATACATGTAAACTGGACTTATGAAAAACATTTTTGTTGTTATAACTAACTATGGGACCTCTGGTAGTGCAGTGCCTAAGGCACTTGACTGCTAACCGGAAGGCTGGCTGTTCAAACCCACCAGCCACTCCTCGGAAGGAAGGCTGGGCAATCTACTTACGTAGTAATACCACCTCAGAAACCCAAGGAGGGGTCACTATGAGTCAGGTCCAACTTGACAGCACATAACAACAACAGCATAACTAACTACAGGGATATTTTTATTAAAAAATAATGAATTTCCCGCTGAAACACTACACAAAAAATGTTATAGACAGTCACTTTGGTGTCAACCCTTCTGGCAGTGTCACCTGATACGGTCCGCACTTCTTGCACCCCCCCTAGTGATACCACTACAAGATGGAAATATACTTTGGTTCCTCCCTCTGCTGACTTTTTGTAGGTTTAAGGAAAACTGGAGAAGACAAAAGTTTTCAGGTCTTGCTCAAAAACAAAAGTGATTCTGTTACAAGGACAAACATCAGAGCTACTCGCTACTGTACCAGAACTGGATGGATATTTAATTAACCAGGTACTTGGCTTTTGTTTGAGCTCCTACAAGGGATGCTTGGCTGAGAGAGCCACCTGGCGGAGGGAGACACTCAGTGGAGGGAGACGCCCAGCTGAAAGAGGTGCCCGGCTGAGAGATGGCGGCAGTGGAACCAAGAGGCATGGGACAGAGCGGCAGGGTTACCTGGCCCATTACCTGGCCCAGAGAGGCAGAGGCCAGGCTGAGAGAACAAGGGCCAGAGAGTTGTGCCTAAGGGCACAGCAGACGGGAGATTGTCCTGATTGAAGAACTGTGTCCTGAGCATGTTCCTGAACTTGAATTGTAGCCTGTTGCTTCCCTAATAGACCCCATAATCTGCAAGTTCTATGTGGCCACTGCAGCGAATTATCAAACCCAGCAGAGGTGGTTGGTGCTGCAGGAGGGACAGTTGGTGTCAAGATTGGTAAGTAGGTTAGAGGGTGGCGGCACGTCTGGCCTCATAGGAACAGGCCTTAGGCTGCTGATGGTGATTCTGTCCTCCTCTTGTGGAGTTAGAGGAGGTCAGAAGATGCCACTGCCTCCTTGCCTCTTTAGCAATTAAGAAATCACAGAGTCAATCATGAAGAAGGAACTATGCTAATTTACCCATAGCTGGCATTTTATGGCCTGGAGAAACAGCTAATCCAATATAAAAAAAAAGTTAAAATCATGAAACCTCATGAACCTTGTACCCCCTAAAAGAAAAAAAAAAAACAAAAAAAAAACACATAATAAACCACACACACACAGAGTTTAAAATAAGATAAAGAAAAGATATAGATAAGCTCAAAGAGGAGCTAGGACTCAAGTCCTGGTTTGTCTAACCACAGTCTATACTTCTAACCACTACACCTTTCCAAATGAATGCACAAACGTACTGCAGATTATCTTCTCTCCAGTCGAGGGACTCAAGTTAAAATAATCTATTGACCAGGTGTTTTAGTTATCTAGCACTACTGTCAATAGAAATACCACTAGTGGATGGCTTTAACAAACAGAAATTTATTTATTTATTCTTTTTACAGTTTAGGAGGCCAGAAGTCTGAATTCGGAGTGCTAACTTGTGGGGAAGGCTTTCTCTCCTTCTGGGCTCTGGAGCAAGGTCCATGTCAAACAGAACAGGCTCTTCTCAGTTGTGTCCGCAGGCAGTCCTATCTCTGGACCTTGGCCTCTCAGGCCCTCTGCTCTGCCAAGGCCAGTGTTAACAAAGCTCTTTAGCTCTGCAGTTAAGTGCCCAGAGACACTCCACTCCATTCTACCAGGAAGCCTCCTGACTAAAGGCACTCAAGCTTTCTCTGGCTCTATGGGTTGGCAAACCTAGCTCTGAGGACAAATGCCCACAGGTGCCCCACTCTTCCAGGAAGCCTCCTGCCGAAGGCACTCCACTCTCTTGCTCTACGGTCAACTTCCTGAACCATCTTGCACCCGTCTTCCGGCTCTGGTGCCACCATTTCTCTGCCACTGCTTCTCACTGTCTTGCACAGTCGCCAGCATTTCAGCTCTCCTCACTTCCTTCTGACCCTCACTAGAATTGCCTTTGACATCCAGAATTCCACCAACAGTCCCTTCAAGGCAATCTAAGCTTTTACTATTAGTTATTTTAAAACTCTTCCAGCCTTTACCCATCATCCAATTCCAAAACCACCCCCACATTTTAAGTATGTTAGATCAGCACTTGGTATGAATTCTGTCTTCGTTATCTAGTGTTGCTAAAACAGAAATACCGCAACTGGATGGTCTGTGTCGATCAGGACAGCCTCTGTCCAGTTGTGTCACAGGTAGGCCTATCTCTGACCCTCTGACCCTCAGCCACTCAGCCTGGTCTCTGACCTGCTCAGTTAAGTGTTACAAAGTTCTATAAAACCAAAACCAAACCCACTGCCATCGAGTCAATTCTAATACATAGTGAACCCCCACTGGGTTTCCAAGGCAGTAAATCTTTTATGAAAGCAGACTGCCTCATCTTCCTGCAGAGCAGCTGGTGGATTAGAACCACCAACCTTCTGGTTAGCAGTCAAATGCCTTAGTCACTGTGCCCCCACAGTTCCTTACAAAGCTCTATGTTGTTGTTGTTTTTATGTGCCGTTGAGTCAAACCTGACTCACAGCGACCCCTCCTTGGGTTTCCGAGGCAGTATCACAAAGCTCTATAGTTCTACCAGTAAGTGCCCTGAAGCACCCAGGAAGCCTCCTGCCCAAAGTCACCTAAATGTCTCTTGCTCCACAGGTTGGCTCCCACATCATTTTACGCCAATCTCCCGGTTCTGCTGTTGCTGTTCTCACTGTCTTGAACCAATGCTGGTGTTACAGCTTTCTGTCTCCTGGTTCTAGAAGGTTCTTAGCACAGGGAGCCCTGGGTCCAAAGGATTTTTTCTGTTCCCATCTCTTCTTGGTGGTATTGAAGTGTCTCCTTTCCTCACTTGTTAATCTCTTTTATATATCAAGAAAGACTGACTCAGATACAACCTAATCCTGCAGATTATATCCTATCTCATTAATATAACTGCCTCTCATCCTGCCTCATTAACTTCACAGAGAGATTAGGATTTACAACACCTAGGATAATTACATCAGATCACAAAATGGAGGATAATTACATAATACTGAGACTCATGACCTAAACAAGTTGACACATATTTTCGGGGGGCACAGTTCAATCCATAATACCAGGTGGTACATTTTAAAGAACATCTCAGCCTTTTTCATTTAACTTGGAATTGCAGTGTGCACACTCCTAGCCACTGAAGCTACCCATTTAGTGAAAACAGGTTGATGAGGAAATAAACTCACTCACGGTGCCCACCAACCTTTCTCTGCAGAGAACAAAACAGCTTTCCTGCTCAATTTTCCACATCCCTTCAGCTTTAGCTCTAAAAGTGTTGTGACCCGTACTTCTTTCTTTCTTATCTTTAACTAGCAGCAACGTAAGACACAATCACATATGCAAGACTAGCTCTGGGTTCCATGACCTAGTGAGGTAGTTGGGGATATGGCCCTTGGACTATAACTCTTCTCAGAAAAATCTCACTGGGGAATGGGCATTATTTTCAGTTCAGGTTCAAGTTTTCACTGAGATTCTATGTGGAATTAAAAGGCTCTTGGTGGTAAAAAGACATAATGTAATAAGGTATAAGAGGATTAAGGGTGGGCTTTAACACCCTTAGTCCCCTCATAGCCTCGATGTAATGGGAGCATGTAAGGAGAACTTCCCTTATTTCCTTACAAGAGATAAAAGGACAGGGAAAGAAATAGAGATGAGGGGAGGGGCTAATACCACCAAGTAAAAGCCAGGGTCCCTGTGCTGGGATCCTTCTAGGACCAAGAGACACAGAGAGAAAGCCTTCCCCTAGAGTTAGTGGTCCGAATTAGAGCTTCTAACTCCCTAACTTAACAATAAATTTCTGTATATTAAAGCCATCCACTTGTTGTATTTCTGTTACAGCAGCATTCATTAACTAAGACAAGGGGATGGGAAAATTAAAAAGGAAAAATGAAAAGGGTAAAACAAACAAACAAAAAAAAGCAGAGTAATAAGCATCCCTTCAAAGTTCTATTCATGCGTTAACCTCTCACCATAAGGAAGGAGTGTCCGTCTCTTCAGTGACTGGTCGACCGTCACTACTGGTGACTTACTCAGAACCAATCAGCAGGCTGCCTGTTGTGCAGCTCCCTCCTGATTCTTAGGGAGTGCTAGGTGGTGGAATAGTGTGCCTAAGCCATCTGACTGCTAACCGGTAGGCTGGTGGTTCAAACCCATCAGCCACTCCTAGAAAGGAAGATTGGGCAATCTACTTCTGTAGTGACACCGCCTCGGAAACCCAAGGAGGGGTCGCGATGAGTCGGGTCCGACTCCAGGGCAGTGAGTTTGGTTTGGTTTTTGACCTTACCCTGGGCTTGTCTGTCACCTGGTCAAATGGCCACGCCCTCCCACCACGACCCTAACCCCATCTTCCCCATTGTCGGCCCCCAGCACATAACCCAAATCCCGCTCTGATGGTCCTAGTCCGAAGGCAGGAATGAAACACTCGCCCCATTCACATCTGTCCAGATACCAAGCGAATCTAACCGCAGCAAGAGATAAGCAATGGGCTGCAGATGTCCGGATACTCACAGACGGGCAGTTTCAGAGAGGAAAAAGTTGAATCGTTCCTTTGTACCTCAAAGGCTATAAGCAAGAAATTAGATGGGGCTGGTTCACAGCGTGAGAGCTAAAGAGAAAACAGTGGTGGGAGATAGTATTCCACTGTAGGGTCTGAACCCCACCCCCACCCCCCGCCAAAGCTGTAAAAAATCAAATGTTCGAGGTGGCTTTGCCTTCTGCGTTCGCTAGACTTGGAAGCAGGGGTTGGTTGGATGAAAAGGGGGACCAAGAGAAACAAAGCAGGATGCCCGGGACTGCAGTCCCTTCCCACGGGCTATGGAATAACGTCTCTCGGACTGGTCGCTTGGTTCAGCTACAATTTTCCCTCACAGCATCCAGGACAGGATGGAACTCGCCTCACACCAACCGAACTCCTTGCCTCAGCCATCTGCTCCCCCACCCCCACCCGGAAAGTTTTTCTCTTCTTTTCGGGGGGAGAAAAAAAGCGTCACTGGGGTTTACTGTTGCCTAGAAAGGACTTCGCAAGAGAAGACAATAAATTTGCACAGACCTGATTTGCGGTGCAGCGATGTACAGGAGAAAAGGGAAAGGGAGGAACAGGAGCAGGAACCCAACCATCTCGACCGACAGGCAGCTGCAACGCCTGCAGCAGTGAAAGTGGATGATCTCGGTTCTCACGGATTATGGCTTCTCTTCCTGGGCACGCCTTAGCTCAAATTACAATAGCCCGGGAGAGCACAGCCTTCTGGGAAATGTAGTCCGACTCTGGCCCTCAAGCTAACCTGGACCAAGAATGCTATTTGCAGACACTGAGAAAAGTTAAATCGTGCATAACTTAGAAGACAAATCTCTAGTTATCTAAGATCTAGAGCCATCGGAATCATCCAACCAACTCTCCCCCAGCCCTTCTGGCCACTAGCCGTTCTTGTCAAATCTTCCCAGTTCTCTTATCTCCCAGTGCCCAAACCCCGACACTGAGTCAGTTGTCCCCAGTCAAGGTTAGGCCGTTACCGCAAGGTTTCACCTGGAGATCAAACGTTGGTGTGCGGAAAATGTGCTAACGCCGATTACACAAGGGAGGAGCGGTTGGAGTCTGACAGTTGGTAAACGCTAAAACAAACGCAACACACCGCCATGGAGTCAGACTGGACTCATAGCGACCGCTCCTTGGGTTTCCGAGGCAGTGTCTCTACGGAAGTAGATTGCCCAACCGTCCTTCCGAGGAGTGACTGATGGGTTTGAACCGCCAGCCTTTTGGTTAGCAGTCAAGTGCCTTAGGGACTAGGCCACCAGAGCTTCTGAGAGTTGGTAAATTGGAGGAAATTCCTTCATCCTATGAGCAAAAGTGATTGAGCCTTTAAGATATTCTCAGGAGAATCACTTTAATGTAGCTGTTTTGAATTGTTCTTTGAATATTTGTAACATCATATTTTTCCGAGGAGCTCTGGTGGCGTAGTGCCTAAAGGCATTTGACTGCTAACCAGAAGGCTGGCAGTTCAAACCCACCAACCACTCCTCCGGAAGGAAGGTTGGACATTCTACTTCTGTAGTGATACTGCCTCGGAAACCCAACGAGGGGTCGCTATGAGTTGGTCTGACTCAATGGCAGTGAGTTTCAGTTTTTATCACATTTTTCCTGGTGTTTGATGAGTGGTAATTGATAATAGAATATAATTCCTGATTACTTGCATCAGTTATATTGACTCCAAACAATGTATTTCTCAAATTGCCACAGTTGGTTTCCCCAATTTATGAACGCGTTTAATCCTGTCTTAAATTAAGGCCATAAAATTATTCTTTGGAAATAAAAAGGTTCCCTGTTCAAGCTGAATTGATTCTTTCAGCTTTACTATCTGATACTCATACTTGGTTCTTGGGGGTGGAGGTGTTTATAATTATTATTAATTTAGGAGCTCTGGTAGCGTAGTGCCTAAGGCATTTGACTGCTAACCAGAAGGCTTGCGGTTCTAACCCACCAGCCATTCCTCAGAAGGAAGGTTAGGCAATCTACTTTCTTAGTGATACTGCCTCAGAAACCCAAGGAGAGGTTGCTGTGAGTCACATCTGACTCGATGGCACATAACATTATTACTGTATTTATTTATTTTAACAAGTCACTATTCTGACTAATGTTTTTTGGTTCTTTTGGAGAAGTCCTTTCTGTTTGATTGAAAGACACACATTCCAAAATCAAGTTGAATCAGTATATTTTATAGCAATTGGAGAGAAATTTCCTATACACAATAAAAACTCTTACTTATTTGATGTTAGATTATCTAATAATCACTCAATTTTGTCACCTCATTATTGTGTTACCTAATATTTGTACAGAGTTTTAAAGCTGTATAGAGGCCTATCACATGTTTTGTTCCTTATTATTCAATCATTCATTTTACAAATGTCTATGATATTCCTGCAGAGTACTAAGGGGTATGCTGAAGTCCAACCAGGGAGCTAGGCAGACTTGATTGATACCCTCTCAGAGCTTTTGGATTGTCAGGGAAGACTTTAAACAAGTGTTCACTATAAATAAATCATGATGAGAGTTGAGAAGGGAAGTAAGGAAAATTTTGGGAGCGTATAGCAGGTACATTTCCCTTGTGCTACCCACCAGCCACTCCTTGGAAGGAAGATGGGGCAATCTACTTCCGTAGTGATACTGCCTCAGAAACCCAAGGAGGGGTCACTATGAGTCAGGGCCAACTCAACGGCACATAACAACATAACAACAACAAAGATTAGGAAAGACTTCTTTGAAGAAATGACATTTCAGCTGAGGACAGAGGGAGTTAGTGGGCAAACAACATACAGGCAAGAGTACTCCCAGCAGAGGCAAGGGCCCACCTGAGGAGGGCTCAGTGTCTGAGAGAGCAGGGTGCTTTGGAGCTACAAATACATTTGGTTGGCGGGAGCAGAGGGCCAAGGGGGCGTGGCAGAAATGGCAGGAATAGCCCATACTGATACAGCACTTAGTTTGTGCCAGGCCCTGTCCAAATACTCTCCCTATATTAATTCTTTTAATTCTATAGGGAGGTGTCACACTGGAGGCACTCTGCTATGAAATCTCTGTGAAGAAGCTGCTGGTCACTGAATGCCACAGGAGCTAGTGCTGAGAAGCTAATGAGCCACCATAGCATGACTTGTGTTCTAAGCTGTCAGTATTGAGTTTCCATAAACTAAATCGATCTTCCAACTTGTATGTATTTAAGGGTCTGAGATATTTTGTTTTATTAACCACTTGTTGAATTGACTCCAACTTCTAGTGACCCCATGTGTGTTAGAATAGAACTAGGGTCCACAGGGTTTTCAATGGCTTGAAATAGGAAGTAAACCCCTTTCTTCCTACAGTGTCTCTCTAGTGTCTTTTATTGATAAAAGCTTAACATGGTGCCAGGTGGCAAAGAAAACAATATTTAAAGGGTCCGTGGAATAATTTCTAAGAGTTAAAACAATGCTGGAAATTGATTAGTTCATCAAACAATTCAAAAATTGGATGTCACACTGCATGAAACTGGGTGTTGCATCTGAGATGAGTCAGTATGGGGTTTTTAATAGTCCAAGGTACAAAGAAAGCCAGGGAAGCCCGTGCAGTTTCTTCAGAATTATGTTTGGATAAAAAGACAAATGACTCGCGTCTGAGGGGTCAGTGCCTGCTGATAGAGGTTTCCAAATAGCTAGATTCCAGCTTGTCTGGAATGTAAGGCTATGTTAAGGGTGTTAGGTACACATAGCCTTAAAGAAACAAGCTAGTGATTAACTCTAAAGTTTAGGTTACTTAATATCTTAAATATTTTCCCTCTGAGACAAGTTTTTGGCCATGCTTGCCCAAGCTGGCAGAAATATTGTGTTTAGTTTCCACATTTAGTTTTAGTCTCCACATTGATTTCTAGTTCCATAGATCCATCTCCAGTTTCACATTTGAAAAAAAAAAAAAAAAACCATTGCTGTCGAGTCGATTCCAACTCATAGCAATCCTCATTGGGTTTCCGAGGCAGTAAATCTTTATGGAAGTAGATTGTCCAGTCTTGCTTCTGTGGCTGATCGGTTTGAACCACCAACCTTCTGGTTAGCAGTTAGATATTGTGGTAGTTAAAGTTGTTTGTCAACTTGGTTGGGTCTGGTTGAGTGGCTGGGCAGCTAGTGAGACTTGGTTGACAACTGTCAACTTGGCTGGGCCTGGTTGTTAGTGGCTTGGCAGCTGGATGTAGTTGTTCCCCATGATGAGACTAGCAATCAACTCCATGGTGGAATCTACCACAAGCAGCTGAGTAGCTGCCTTAGGGATATGGTCTGCTTCCTGTATATAAGGAGAAGTGTTGGGGAATGGTCTCTAACTTATGGCACACTTGAATCTTGCATGCAGCTGTGTCATTGTTCAGCAGCCTGCCATGTTCTGCTGACCTTGAGACTTTCCAATTGACTTGAATGAATGGCCTGCTGTGTGGTTTGGTAACATCAGAACTGTGTCAACCTTGGGCTTGTCAGTCTCAGCAGCCAGCAGCTGTCTGAGTGAAGAAAAGCCTCTAGCTTCAGTGGGCTGGGAGCAGGAGGCAGAGCTGAAGTCCAGGGTTGAGGGGCTTTCACCCAGCCCCTAGAGCCTGGCACTTTGAACTCAGACTGAAAGCCTCCAAATTGTAAGAATAAACTCCGTTTATTAAGGCCATCCCATTTGTGGCATACTCCTGTCAGAGTGGCACTAAGTAACCAAAACAGATACCTTAGGCACTACGCCACTAAAGTTCCTCCATTTTCATATAACTAAAAAACCAAACTCACTACTATCGAGTTGGAGCCGACTCATAGCGACCCCTCCTTGCATTTCTGAGTCAGTATCACTACAGAAGTAGATTACCCCAGCAGGCAAAAAAATGTAAATTGTAACTGAAAAGCAATAAACTGGTAAGTGGTGCAGGAGGTGTTTTGGTCCTCTAGTGCCACTATAACAGACATACCACAGGTGGGTAGTTTCAACAAACAGGGATTTATTCTCTTACAGTTTAGGAGGCTAGAAGTCTGAGTTCAAAGTGCCAGATCTAGGGGCTGGGTGAAAACCCCTTGACCTTAGTCTTCTGCTCTGCCTCTTGCTCCCAGTGTACTGACACTGGAGGCTTCTCTTAACTCAGGCAGCTACTGGCTGTTGAGGTTGACAAACCCAAGGTCGACAAATAAAATGGCATAGTCCCAAGATTACCAAAAAACATGGCAAGAAACTATTTCAAGTCCAGAGACAGTCCCAAGATCGACAGGAAACATGGAAGGCTGTTGAATGGAAACTCGGCTACGTGCAAGGTCCAAGCATGCCAAAAACTCAGAGCCCTTCTCAAAGCTTCTTATATACTGGAAGCGGATCCTATCCCTAAGGCAGCTACTCAGGTGTGCCAGTAGATTCTACCATGGAGTTGATTACCAGTCTCATCACGGGGAATAACTACATCTAGCTGCCAAGCCACTAAAAACCAGGCCCAGCCAAGCTGACACACAACTTAACTACCACAGGAGGGAGCCTGGAGAATGTGATGAAGAGTGTTTCAAGGAATAGATACTTAAAAAATAAAAAGCATGATCCATAAAAAAAAAAAAAAAAAAAAAAAAAGGATTTTTGACTTCATCAAAATCAA